AAGTGATGTTGAGCTGGTCACCTCACCCTGGCCCCCCAAGGTCAAACACAACCCTGATGTTTTCCTCAATGAAATTGAGTTTGACATGCCTGGAGTGTCAAAGAGAAAAGAAGTACTTCTTTTTTCTAGAGAAAAGAAGTACTAGAGGTAACATGGTAGCAGTGTTCCAGTAGATGAGGAGCTGCCATAAGGGTCACCTTATTTTCCAAAATACCAGAGGCACGACAAGAAACAATGAATGGAAAATAATCTATGAGAGAAGAAACCTGGAATTAAGGGAAAACTTCCCAACAGTGAGAACAATTAACCAGTGGAACAGCTTGCCTTCAGAAGTTTTGGGTGCTTCATCTTTGGAGTTTTTAAAGAAGAGATTGGCCAGCCACTTGTCTCAAATTGTATAGGGTCTTTTGCTTGAGGAGGGGACTAGAAGATCTCCAATTTCCTTTCAGTTCTGTTCTGATTGATCGATCCTGATTGTAGAAGTGGAGATTGATCTGGCCTCGTTCCATAAGTTCCCAGGAAGGAAGCCATGATAATTTGGGACCTTGGAGAGAAGAGAAGCCCCAAAATTGGACAAGAGGGGCCTCAGCCCCAGACTACACTTGACAGGCTGCTACTGAAGTGGCAAGGAAGGCCACTGAGCTATTAACAGCACACCCCCACTATCACCACTGGCCATACAACATGACCCCTAAGGAAGGGGAAAGCAAAGAATATGAAGGGGAGTCAAGATGATAGAGTTTATCATATCCTCTAACGATAGTGAGGGTACTCTGATTAAGGATCCAAAGCTGGCCTGGAAACCCCTGTGATGGGAGAATGATCAGATGGTAAGTAGAATCATAAGCCTGATGGCAGTGACAGTATATCTTCTGGTGACTTCCTCGGGGAAGAAGGGCATGCTAACCCCATTATTAGGTTCTGGGTGCATCAGGTGTCTAGTTAGCCCCAATGTAGTTGAGAGTCTTGGAATGCATCTCTGGGAGTTCAAAACCTCAATAGCGTTCACGAAATTAGATACCTCATTAGCTGGGGGTAGGCCCTGCAGTCTTCGTAACAATCTCTGGAAATGAGAATTGGACCCCGCATGGAAACAATTAGCTTTATTGTGAACCCCTGGCATGAACCATTCTATCATACTGGATCTTGCTTGGGTAGAGAAGTGTAATCTCTCAGTGCATTGGAAGAAAAAAAGTCTTAAAAATCTTGGAGAAATTCCAATGTTAAAGCCGCAATGACAATGCAAACTCGCACCCTCATTAAAAAAATGAAATAAATTCTTGTGCTGCCAGCCCACAAGCAAGGCAATGCAGTTGGTCTCATTTCAAAGAAATTCTGGGAGCTGGAAGAAGTATCTAGTGAGAGGGAATCAGATGATGGCTTCACACCCACATCGCCCCACAGACAATGCCATTGAAATTCTACCTGGGACCAAGCTGTCAAAATCCAAACTGTACTTGATAATACCGAGACAACTAGAAGAGCTGAGGCTTTATTAATAAAAACCTGGCCAGCCAGCAAAATTGTGTATCCCATTTTATTTTGTGAAAAGATAGATGGCTACCTAAGATTATGAATAAATTACTGAAGACTGTGCTATCTGCATGGAGAATGTATATCTCCTGCCCTTAATGAAAGCCATCTGGCTAAAAGAATTTTTTTTTAGAAAGCTGGACTTGAGGGAAGCTTCTTACTGGATATGGATAATAAAAGGGGATGAGTGGAAGATCATTTTCAATTCTGGGTCCGTTTGGTCTGCAAGGGGCACCTGCAGTGTTCATTCAATCAATGAATCTACTCCCACAAAGTAGAAATGGACCTCAAAAAAGTGGGCTGTACTTGAATGGGAAACAACCTGCACCAGGAAGCAGCTGTAGATCTTCCTAGGCTTTGCCAACTTCTCTTTACATTTACATTTCCAACATTCATTTGAAATACCTTTCTATGTTGTGGCCCTGATTCCCGAGCCTATGCTGTCAGAGGAAGAGGACCTGGAAGATGAAAAGGAGGAACTGGGAATGCCTTCCTCCCCAGGACCTTCCTCTCTGGCAATGCCTTCCTCCCCAGGACCTTCCTTCCTGATAATGCCTCAGGTTCCATCAGACAACTGAGGAACAACCTGAGATTAATCAGGAGGAAGGCATATCGGAGCAGCCCCTGACAGGGAGTAAAGAGAAAGAGTGTTGGCTCGATCCTAAGCAGCGTTGTAGGGAGAAACGTGAGCAGCAACATAGGAGGTGTGGGAGGGTCAGAGAGTGAGTTGAGTCATTGAGCCACACTCCACAGGGGATAAAAGTGGGTGTGTTTTCTCCTGAAACTTTGTACGGGACAAAGTTTAACCTTACTTCAGATTTTCTTTGTGGACTGCCTTGTGATTTTCTGTGAGTAAAATTTTATTTACTATCAGTTCGGACTTGGCAGGCAGGACGTGTTGGAATGCCAAGAATATTCTCAGTTCCAAAGAATTAACTCTGTGAAGTCTGAGCCAGCTTGCCTGCCTGTGTTTGTGTGAGTTTGTACTCTTTCATCTTTTGGGAAAGAGGAAAGGCGAGACAGAACATTTCTATATTTTTGATAACTTGTCTGGAGTTAAATACCAATGACACATCATTGTATAGAAATTTTCTTTTAAAGTGTAGTTTAAAGTAAATCTTAAACCTTTCTTCCACGTTCTCTCATTGTTCCAGCATTACATTACAGTGGAACCTCAGGCTGCGATCGTAATCTGTTCCAGGACTACAGTCGCAACCTGATTTGGTCGTGACTGGAAGCATGACTGACTGTGCATGCATGAATGGACTGCACATGCATGGAAGGAGAAATCGCCACAGCCGGGTTTGTTCACCACCTGATTTTTGAATCATGACCCAATTCAAAAATCAGGTGAATATTTTGGTTGGAACCTGATTTGGTCGTGAACAGGAGCATTCACGACCCCGAGGTTTCACTGTACACCCAAAGTTCCTTGCCCATTGACTCATACAATGCATTACATGTTCATTTTCCAAATTTAAGATCAATAATGTTTTATAGACCTTAGTGACAATATATTCATCACTACCACACAATAAGATTTCTAATTTATTTTTCAGAAAGTCTAACCCATAACTCTTTTTGTCTAATTTGAATCTTTCTTTCAATTGTGGATATGTGGCAAAGATGTCCTTTTCTTAGCTCCTCCTTAGACTTGAGGTTAGGATCACCAAATAAAAAGATATTATTTTACCAGTCTGGCTTCATCACCATTTCTTTTCTAAGTAAGCTTCATCATCAGTCCGGCTTCATCACCATTTCTTTTCTAAGTAAGCTTCCTGTGGGAAAAGCCAAAGAGGCATCTTCATGAAAAACCTTGTTTTATATTTATTCCAAACTCTCAGAATGGCACATCTAACAAAGTGGTTGTTGAAATCAACATTTACTTTAATCTTATCATACCATAAGTAGCCATGCCATCCAAATCTTAATTCATGACCCTCTAAGTCAGGTAGCCTTTTATTCTGGAGATTCACCCACTCTTTTAGCCAGACTAAACAACAAACATCAAAATACAGTTTCAAATCTGGTAAACCCAAATCCCTTTTTTTCCGTAGCACTTTGCAGTAGTTTGTATCTAATTCTTGCCTTTTTCCCCTTACCATATAAATTTATAAATATCTACCTGCCATTGTTTAAATGGAGTATCAGTTGTGAGTATCGATAATGACTGAAACAGAAAGCATCTTTGGTAAAACATGCATCTTGATTACAGAAATTCTATCCAAAGGTGATCAATGCAATTTGTCACATCTTAATAAATCCTTTTTGATATAAATCCAGAGAGGTACAGTTTTGTATTTGTGTTCGTCAGCATGACCCCCCAATATTTCATCTTTTCTCAACCCTAAAACCAGTTTTTAGTCAGTGTATTGCCATCCTGTTAGATCAGCGGTTGCCAACCAGTGGGCCATGGCCCACTGGTGGGCCGTGAGAAAATTTTGGTGGGCCGCAGAGAAATGTCACCCCCCCCCCAGAGCACCCCCCCAAAATAATTAATCCAGGCTGTGCAGGAACACAAGGCTGCGCTTTCCACATGGCCTGCAGGAACCCTTCCCACCCACTTCTTACATGGCAAATTTGCCTGCTAAATTGCTTTTCCCCCTCTTTTTTTCCAACCATCAGCTGTTCTGTTGTGCCGAGAGATTTAGATTAGCTAGGAAGCAGGAAATGATTGGATTTCTTACTTTCTGCTAGTCTTTAGATCTTCGGCTCTGCTTTTAAGCACAGCCGAACTTCCCGTAGGACTGAAGGTTTTATTATTCAATGCAGACTCACGATAAGCAAAGAATGTTAAATGAGCATATACATGAAGACCAAAATGGATTTTTCCCGACTATAAAATCTGCAGTTTGTGATAGAGGTGCTCCCCCCCCCCCCAAAAAAGACTATAGAACGTTAGAAGAGGAAAAACAAGGTCAAATAAAAAACCACTTACTCCAGGGGTGTCAAACTCAATTTTATTGAGGGCCGCTTCAGGGTTGTGTTCGACTTCGGGCCGGGGTGGTAGTGGCCAAGGTGGGCGTGGCCAGCTCAACATCACTCATGTTGGGGGTGCCTGTGGTGGCCTGAGCACTCTGCCAGTGAAAACAGCTTGGGATGGCCATGTGCAGCTCTCCTAAGCTCTGTTTTTACTGGCAGAGGCTTGCAGGAGGCCATCACAACTGAAAATGTGCTTTTGCTAGAGGAGGCACCATGGGCTGGTGCTTTGTTGTTTCCAGGGTGGCTCCACAGGCCAGATCTAAGCACCCCGCAGGCCAGCCCTGGCCCCCTGGCCTTGAGTTTGACACCCCTGCGCTATGCAATCCAGGAATGTACCCCTTGAATCAGTAAGAAATATCAAGAAAAAAAATCCATATAAATACTGAATACTTTTCCCTGCATTGATAACACTCTTTATCTATGTAACATTTATTTTAATTTAAGAGTAAATAAATACCTGAATTATATGCTTTGTATATTTTTAGAAACACAGACAATAGAAAGGAGGAAAAAAGAGTTGAAAAACAATTATTTTGTCTATGTTGATGGTCTGAATTCTTCAGTATCAGAAGTAAGTTAAGATTAGAATATAATGTTTGTTTCACTTGATGCTACAGTGAAAGTACATCTATCTTCTTGATTATTTCAGGTTGATCTTTGGATTCATTTCCAGAAGTATAATGTTTCTGAGGTTTGGGTTTGTGAGTATTCTAAAAATTACAGGTATGTATGTTGTACTGTCACGTCTATAGCTGCTACTGTTGGGATGTCTAAACCAAGCGTTTAGGGATATACATTATATACATTATGAATTTCCATGTTTTAGAAATGAGTTAGTAACTTATTAAAATAGTAAATTCTGACATTGTCTTTACTCCTACCAATAGTACTGTATTTGTTGGTAGTTTATGGCAGGAAGTATATCCTTTAATCAATTCGTTAGAAATGTATACACTGTACAATTATTAGGCAAGTTGTATTTTGGACAATTAATTTTATTATTTAACAACTACAGTGTGCTTGGTCAATCCAAAATGTTAATAAACCTCAAACTTGAATATTTAAGAAAGTAAAAATGTGGTTTTGGCTTTCTTAGGAGAATACCTATCTGTGCACAATTATTGGAAAACTTATTAGTATACAGAATTATTAGGCAACTATGTGAAAAATTGCCCATCTCATTTATTTGCATCTGTTAAAGTGAGAATAATTAAACAACTCAAATATTTCTGACATTTCAAAATGTAACCAATATAGCCACCCTACTTTTCAATAAGCTTCCATTCATGGAGTCTGTTAGTTTCTTGATCTGTTGATGATCAACTTTTTGTGCAGCAACAACCACAGTCTCCCAGACACTGTTCATAGTGGCGTATAGGTAATCCTCCAGGTACGAAAGTTCCATTTAGTGCATTTTTCACAAGAATGAATTTATTTACAGAGGATACTTACGTTAGAAATTCAAAAAGAGGCTACTTGGTGCTAGAATTGAGTTCTAGAATTGTTTCTGAAAGTATTTTAAAAAATTCTTTTTTGTTATTCTATAGTACTGTACTGTTTGTTTGTATGCACTTTGGGAACTGCTCTGCTTTTTAACTACTATAGTTTGCGAACTATTGTATTTGTAAGTACAGTACTTTGCAAAGGTAAAGTTTGTTTGCATTTGCCTTGAAACTGCTTGTAGAAAAGCTAGCCAGCATCTACACAAAGCATTCTATATTATTGTGTTTCCTTGCTTTTATTTTGGAGATTAGTGTATATTGCTGTAGTTTGTAGGTTTTAAATTTAAATTCCCTCCAGAAGTTGTGGGTGCCCCATCACTGGAAGCTTTTAAGAAGAGACTGGTTAGACATTTATCAGAAATACTCTCTTATGAGAGCAGTGGGTTAGACTAGATGACCTCAAGGTCCCTTCCATCTCTGTTACTGTTGCAAGCTGTTCTGTAAATCCCTCCCCCATTTTCTCTGGGTATCTGCCTGGAGAGGCTTAAGCTAATTAGTGACAAGTGTTTTTTTTAAATTAACTGCAATCTGAGAGTTGTAAATTACCGTTCCCCCAGCCCCATCTGGTCCTGCCTACAGGTAAATAAGTTGACCCCTCTTTGTGGCAGCTTCTCAAATACTGGAGTAGTAAAAAAAAAAAGCCTCCCACAATCAGCTGAGAGGAGGGAAAAAAGCCTCCGACAATCGGCTGAGAAGAGAAAGGAGAGAAAATCGCAGGATTGGCGCTCCCACTCGCCCTTCACTTTTCTTTATCCTCTCAGCTGATTGGTGCTGCAAGCCTCAGCTGGTGTGTGGAAAGCTGTGCACGCACATTAGGTGCACGCATGCACGCACACGATTACCGAACCAGTAGTGGAATAGGTAGGATTCCACTGGTGTATCATTCCCCCCCCCCCCATCCTTCTTTTCACTAGATTAGCCAAACCCAAATCCTGCAACCATTCTTCATATATTTGTCTCCAAGCCTTTAATCATCTTAGTTGCTTTTCTTTGTACTTTTTCCAAAGTCTCAACATCTTTTTTTTAATGTGACTAAAACTGGATGCAGTATTCCAGCTGGATGCAGTATTCCAGGTCTTATTAAGGCTGATGAACCCAACGAAACTAGCAAGTTAAGACAAACAGATCTCTTTAAGCATAACTTTATTGAGCACATTATTTCGGCACGCAAAAGCAACACTAGCTAGTTCCCACAATATTCGTCTAATTAAAGAATAAATTATTTCCTCCCCTCCTTCAGCCAGGTCACATTGTCCAGTTAGATTCTCTGGTGTCTCTATGGCAACTGCTTCAAACCATTGCCAAACATCTGTTGAGATGACCTTGGTTCCCACAGGACGATTTCGTTTGGTCATCCAGGGCTAGTCTGTGGCAAGCTGAGAAATGAAAAGATGGCTGCGACAGCATGGGCACCTTTTGAAGTTGAAAAAGGCTTTATAAAGTGGTACTAATACTTCATGTGATTTTGATTCTATACCTCTGTTTATATTATATTAGCTGTTTTGGCTGCTGCTGCACACTGCTGACTGATGTTTAAGTGATCGTATACTAGGACTCCAAGTTCCCTCTCACAGTTGCTGTTTTTGAGCCAGGGTTTGCCTAATCTGTACTTGTACTTTTGACTTTTCCTGCCCAGGTGTAAAACCTTGCTTCACATTAAATTTCACTTTGTTGGATAGGGCCCATTATTCAAGTCTGTCAAGATGTTTTTGGATCCAAGCTTGTTTTCTGGAGTGTTGGCCAGCTTGGTGACAACAGCAAATTTGATGAGTTCTCTTTCTATTCCCTTAAGTCATTTATGAAGATATTGAAGAGTGCTGGACCCAAGATGGAACCTTATGGTACCCCACTGCTAACTTCCCCTCCATGAAGATGTAGTACCATTAAGAACTATTTTGTTGAGCAGTTACAAATCCAGCTGGTGGTGATGCTGTGTATCCCACATTTTTCTAGCTTACCAAGAAGTAGGTTGTAGTCTATTTTGTCAAATGCCTTGCTGAAGTCTAAGCATACTACGTCCACAGCATTTCACTGGTCTACTAATTTAGTTACTTTGTCAAAGAATGAAATAAGGTTGGTTTGGTATGATCTCTTTTTAACAAATCATGCTGGCTATGATTTATAACATTATTTCTTTCTGGATATTCACCAATCTCTTTTTTGAATATTTTTTCCAGTATATTCCCAGATATTGATGTTAGGCTGATTGGTCTGTAGTTTCCTCGGTCTGTTTTTTCCCTTTTTTGAAGATGTGAATCACATTAGCATTTTTCTAATCCTCTGATAGTTTCCTAGTGCTCCAAGATTTTTTAAAAACACAACACAACGGTTCTGAGATAACATTGGCAGCTCCTTCATAATTCCCTGGATGTAATTCATCAGGTCGCGGTGATTTATATTCATCAAGGTCAGACAGGTGTTCCCTTATTGTTGTCTTGCTTATTTTAATTTCTATTTCTAGCCTGTCTTTTACAGTTATATTTTAGTAGGTTGAGTTATAGTTTCTCTTTGTGTGAAGACTGATGCAAAGAATGAGTTAAACAGTTCTGCTTTCTCTCTGCTGCCTCTTACTTCCTTACCATCTTCTCTCTTTATTTATTTATTTATTTATTTATTTATTTATTTGCCAATTGTTTACAAGATAATAAGTATAAGTGTATACATAGTTGTGAATACATGAAATGGGTACATATAAGAAAAATAAAAGAAGAATAAGAGAAACAATAGGACAGGGACGGTAGGCACGTTGGTGCGCTTATGCACGCCCCCTACAGACCTCTTAGAAAAGGGGTGAGGTCAATAGTAGACAGTCTAAGGTTAAAGTTTTTGGGGTTTGGGGAAGAAACTACAGAGTCGGGTAGAGTATTCCAGACATTGACCATTGACTATTGCTGAAGTCGTATTTCCTGCAATCAAGTTTGGTGCGGTTAACTTTGAGTTTGTATCTATTGTGTGCTCTTGTGTTGTTATGGTTGAAGCTGAAGTATTCATTGACAGGTAGGACATTGCAATGTATGATTTTATATACCATGCTTAAATCAGACCGAAGACGGCGTAATTCAACGGAGGTTCTTATGGTTGGTGTTGGTTTTGGCGAGTGAATTTATAGTGTAAATGAATTTACGTTTGCTTGATTCATTTTTGCAAATGACCCTGCACAAGCGTGGGGCCACAGAGCCGTCTCTGTTTTTGAGCTCTCGGCCAATGCGGGAAATGTCAAGTATTTCATCAGCGGAGATGGTTGATGCTTGATAATCACTGATGATGTTTCGGACAGTTGTGATGTCATCATTGTCATTGATGTCCTCTAGACCAAATAAGATGGCGTTTGGACGTTTCCGTTCACGCTCAACGGCTTCTCTGATGAGGATTGGGATATCAATATTTGTCTGGGTTGTGTTTATTTGTGGATTGGGTTTTGGATTGGGTTGTGGTTGTTGGGTAGAGATGTGGTTTGTAGCTACTGGATGTTCAGGTTTTTGCGTTGTGTCTTTTTTTTCAAGGTTGGATATTCTTTCTTTTACGGCGTCCAGGGATGCTACTATGGTGTTAAGGGATGTTTCAATGGTTTCAATGGTATCAACTCTTTCAGACAGATCCAGTTTGGGTTTGCATGGTTTGCAGAGATATGGAAACTCATTGGATGATTCCAGGTATTGAATAAATTGCTTGGTTAATCCCAAGCAGTCATGATGAGCGTATTTTTTACACAGAGAACATTTGATGGAATTTTCATTATCCTTTAGATTTTTGTAGCATTTAAGGCATGTGCAGGAGTCTTGTGGTTCATTGGTGGGGATTATCTTCTCTTTAGGTTGTGGTTTGGCATTGGATTTTCTTTTTGGCATGGTAGGTTTGTTAAGATAGTACGTTGATTGAATTAATTAAAGGAACAATTTTGGGTAATCTATATAGCCAATATCACATCAAACAATCAATTGCAGTAATCTCTCTAGTCAGATAATATTCCTGAGCAACAATCAGCCTAATCAATTAATTACTCTAATCACTAATCAATTAATTACACTAATCATTAATCACACTGTTCATTTAAATTCACTAAATCATTGATTTTACTATTCAATTAAATTACATGAATCTTGATCTTTTAAACTAGTCAGTAATCACACTATTTGCACTAAACACTCTAATCACACTAATCAATTAAAACAATAAATCAATTAAACCATTAATAAAATATTTTATAGAAATTGATTATCTAATCGTTGATATAGGTGATGAGGTAGAAAAGTTGTAAGTTTTGAGGTAATGAATTAATCAGTGTTTGATTAAAGTAATGAGGTAGTATTAAGAGTCTGCAAGGAAAGGGCTAATTGTTTTACTAGCAGCTGTAGTTGACTGAATGAGAGGAATTTATTGCTCTTTGTAATAGCAGATTGCTATTACTCTGTAAACAAAAGGTTGTAACACGATGTTCAAAGGGTTTTTATCCGAGTGAAGGAAAGGGCTTCACTTCTAAGATCAGAGGAAACCAACTATTCTTCTCTCCTTTTTGACTTTTTTAGTGGACCGACTGTTTCCTTGACTTTTTTCTTGTTGTTTATATGTTTAAAGAAACATTATTATCTTTGACTTTTGTTGTAAGTCTTTGTTCATTCTGAGCCTTTGCTTTCCTGAGTTCATCTTTGCAGATTTAGGCTATCTGTTGATATTAGTTATGTGCTCCTCTTTCCATTTTTTGTACTTATCCTTTTTGTCTTTCAGTTTATCAGAGATATCTTTCTGCAACCATTCTGGTTTTTTTTTAAATTTGAAACAAAAGTTTTCATGCTTCTGTTATCAGGTCCCAATATCTTAGCAATTTAAAAAGTGCTGCATCCTCTGAAAGAATTTTTACAATTTTTGACTTTTCACAGTCAGTTAAATCTCGTTTTTGGCCCATTTTACCTGAGGGACAGAAGCTACCTAATGTTTATACGCACTTTGATATAGAGTGTTGATTTTAGGCCACACCCTCCCTCATTACACAAATACACATCTTCTGATGTGTTTATATCTACTAAGCACTCAAGTTTATACAGTTTGGAGGTGGAAATATGCATAAAAATGATGACGTGATCAAAATACTCACTTGCCTAATAATTGTGTATACAGTGTATGTTTTCATGTCAGTAGAGTCAAATGTGAACTTAAACTGATTAACACTGAATATACAGCTATACTTCAACCACGTGTATGTGCACATGACTTCAGCAAAAAGAATGCTAGCATTATCTAAATATAAGATGTATATAATTTTTCCGATCTTGATTATTGCTCGGTAGACATGAGTAGAGAAATAGTATTTAATATATTAAACAGTCAGAAAGACCTGAAGCCTCTCTTAGAATTTAAATAGTTGTCTGCTTTCTGCACTGCTAATGACAAGCTGTTCTCCTCATACACCCTCTTCACCCCCTGCAATGGGATGTAAGAATAAGCTTGAACCAAAGGGGAAAGACAACAAAACAATAGTTAGATAAAAGAAGTTTTACTCTGAAGCAAAAATATGATTTCAGAAAGCAGTCAAACTTGACCCTCCTTAGTTCTCTGGAAAGTAAAAGGAGGAACGATGGAGGTGCATTCAGACTTGCAAGGTTCTGTTACCTTATAGCCATGATGGCGAACCCATGGCACGCGTGCCACAGGTGGCACACAGAGCCATTTGTGCAGGCACGTGAGCCCCAGCCAAACTTACCTGCACTGCGCCTGCATGTGCCTCCCAGCTGATTTTTGGCCTGTTTGAGGCTGTTTTCGCCTTCCCAGAGGCTCGAGGGAAGACTCTGCAGCCTCAGGAGGCCGAAAAACAGGACTTTCAGAAATACCGGAAGTGCCAAAATGGGCCTGTTTTCAGCCTCCCAAGGCTACAGAGGCTTCCCTTGAGCCTCTGGGAGGGCGAAAACGGCCTCAAATGGGCCAAAATTCAGCTGGGAGGCACGCACATGCACAGTGCAGGTAAGGGGGTGGGGCAGGGCAGGGGTGTTGCATGCGCAGGGGGGCGCATTGCATTGTGGGCGTCGTGCACATGCTTTCAGCACACAACAAAAAGGTTCGTCATCACTGCCTTATAGCATCATCATCAACAAAACTTTATTTTATTATTGACCAACAAATAGAATTCAGAAATAGAGTTAATTAAAATGAAATACAAAATAATATATATATTTTCTCTATTTCTAATAAAGAAACATTTGTTGCCACTGAGGATTGAAGTCGGCTGTAGACAGAGAGATGGAATTGGATTGGAGGGGGCCTGGCCACCGGGCTGCTTCTTTCCACTCCTTTCTTCTGCTTTTCGCTGCACGCAAGGAAAGCAGAAAAAGTCTTTCTTTCTCTCCCCCAATCTCTGCCAGAAATGAGTCTTTGGGACCCTGCAAGGCATCCTGCTTCAAGAGGCTGCACCAAAGACTCATTTCTGGTGGAGTTTGGAGGAGAGAAAGAGACTTCTGCTGCTTTCCTGGCATGAAGCCAAAAGTTTATCTCTTTTTCCCTCCTCCTGAGAAAGGAGCTGGAGACGATAAAGAATGATCAATCAGTAGGAAAATGGTGTGGAGGATTTTCCTGCAGACGTTTTTTGTGATTTTCCTAGGGTCTCTGCAGAAAAAAGTCTGCAGGAAAATCCCCCACTCCGTTTTCCTACTGATCGATTTGGTATTGCAGAATACCCTCTCTCTCTCTCTCTCTCTCTCCCTCTCCCTCTCCCTCTCCCTCTCCCTCTCCCTCCCTCCCCGAAAACGGAGCTGAAAAGCAAGTTAGGAATATGGCTGCCTTGGAGGGGGTGGTGTGTGTGTGTGTGTGAGAGAGAGAGAGAGAGCGAGCATAACTGCCATCCCTCCGAGGTTAGATCAGATCTCTCTCTTTCCCACCAACATCAGCAAGTCACCGTCAGTCAAATTCATATTAATGGTCCGCGGGATTTAAAATTATGAGTTTGGTGGTCCCTGAGGTCCAAAAGTTTGGCGACCCCTGTTTTCTAGTACTTGAGGGGCATCACAGAAAAGAGGGGGTTGTTTATTCTCTAAAGCATCTGAGAGCAGGACAAGAAGCAGTGGGTGGAATCTCATTAAAGAGACATCCAACCTGGAACTAAGGAGAAGCTTCCTGATAGAATAGAACAGCTTGCCTCCTGGAATTGTGGCTCCTTCATTACTGGAGGTTTTCAAAAAAAGATTGGGCATCCATTTGTTCCAGGATGGCATGGATCTCCTGCCTTGGGCAGGGGGTTGGATTAGAATATCTCCAAAGTCCCCCTGTATCCCTATGATTCTAGGTTTGTTTTTTTTAAGTTTTTGTTCACCTTCCAAGGAAGAAAGAATTAATCTTTACCTGGCAGTATCCATCCTCACTTGTTAAAAGAAACTTTCTGAAAGGCAAAATAAATGTAATGAATTTAACACGATGTATTAGTCATCATCTCTATATATATTTTAAAAAGTGAAATACCACTCACATATCATCACAAAATCTCCAGAACCATAAAGCCTACAAACTTGAAATTTGGCACGTATGCTCCTCTTGGCTTCTAGAAAGGATTTTTCAAAATGACCATCAGATCATTAGTATTTCGTATATTATTATTAACACATTCTGATGCTAAGGAGTTCTACTCCCCTTTCCCACCTGAAAAGAAATCTGTTCCAAATGCAAAACACAAGCAGAGGAGGAGTCTCAGTTTCAGTTTTAGTTTCACAGCACCAAGCAGCTTTAGTACAGAATAGTTGAGCTAAGCCATGCCTAGGCTCCTTGCTGTCTCCTTGCTCACGCAGCAAATACTGTTTCAGTTTCCAAACAGTCCTCAACTCTCTCACACACTGACAGGATGCTAGCCAGGTGAATACTGATGGATGCTGGTAGGCAGAGGTAGAATTTCCCCCCCCCTTATTTTTCTCCCCAAAAACTAGCCCGACCACACAGTTTTGTAGCGAAGCATGGGTATTGAGCTAGTTTCCTATATTTACTTAATGAAATGAAAGTTTTTTTTTTTTAATTTTGCATATATTTTACATTTTAGGTATGCATCTCTTACTTTTAAAACAGCCTGCGATGCAAAACTGGCTGTGAAAGAAATGAATGGGAGAGAAATAAAAGGAAAAGCAATAAAAGTTCAGCTTGAAAGGACAATTGGAGAAAAAGGAATCCAAGAGAATCAAAACTGTATGAAACAAAAGTTTGAAAATCATGAGCCCCTATCTAAAAAGAGAACCAACTATCAGAAAAACTCTGATCTGATTTTGGAAGCTCCTGCTGTAATGTCAGCTACACTCATACTGCCTCCAGATGATCCTTTCACTTTAAAAATGTCCGATGTCTCCAAAGATGATTTGAAGTCGTCATTGCCTGCTTTGCCATTAGCAAATGTTTTCAGACCTGCCTCAGGTTCTTCAGAAGTGCTCCTTTGTGCTTCAGGCTCTTCCAAAGTGCCCAATTCTGACATTGTATTTTCTTCGCCAAAAAAAGCATCCTTTGAAGTAGATCAAAAGGTAACTTTTATGAGATTGCATATCAGAACATAAAGACTTATCTGTATCTATTGCAAGGTTTAGTATAGATAAGCTTTGTTAACTGATAAGTGCAGGTCTTCTGAGGTCATAATTTATCTTAATGCGTTAAGCAATGATTAAGTGCCTTCAATACTAATTTTTATTAACACTTAAGTTAATCAGCATCTATATATGACTAAACTCTTGTTTCTGTCTGTGGTAACTTTCAATTGGACAAAATGGTGCATCATAGGGCAACAGTTTTTTAACCAAAGTATCTCAAACGGGTTAATTTACAGAATGTGTCAAAATCCATTAATCCCATGGGATTGAAATTTTGTAAAGTTGTGGCTACTTCAGTGGTGCAATGTTCGGTCTTGCTCACATGATCATCATTTTCAACACTCCCTGGCAGCTTTCCATAAGTCAGTGGGGAAGCCGGCAGGAAGTCTAAACTTGATTGGGACTGAGGGAAAAACCTTGGGTCCAGCAGGAGAGCCAAGGCTCTCTGCAACCAGCAGAGTGCCCCTCTTTATCTGTCACCCCTACAGGGTTACTTTAGCCCCTGGAGGGCCCTCCAACGAAGAGGATTTTGCGCGGGGATGCAGAATCCCACTCCGCTATGTTGATCACACCGTGCCATCAAACCGGAAGTCCTTGCTGAAGTCTTAAGTATATTATGTTGACACTATTTCGTTGGTCTAGTAATTTAATCACTGTTCTGAAGACTAAGATTGGTTTGACATAATCTGTTTTTAACAAACCCATGCTGACTTCTAGTTATTATTTTACTCATTTCTAGATGTTGGCAGATCTGTTTTTTTATTATCTTTCCAGTATGTTCCTGGGTATTGATGTTAGGCTGATTGGTCTGTAGTTTCCTGGGTCTGTTTTTTTCCCTCTGGTAGTTCCACGGTGTTCCAGGATTTCCAAGATGTGGTACAGTGATTCTGAGATGACATCTGCCAGCTCCTTTAGAACTCTGGGATGTAATCCATCAGGTCCTGGTGGTTTATGTTCATCAAGATCAGACAGGTGTTCTCTTAACAATTTATTTATTTTTCTTATTTTAACTTTTATTTCTAGTCTGTCTTTTACAGTTACGTTTTTGATAGGTAGGACTATAGTTTCTTTCTGGTTGGAGGAGTCCTGAGGCTTTCCTTGCTGTCACTTGGTAGAGGCGCAGACAGAGCAATTTGCCACATAGCTTTCAATGTCTTTTTTCAGAGATGGCAACCAAAATTGCCTTTTGATTAAATGCAAAACCAAAATGTCCAGCAGACTTGGATTCCTCCCCAAGACCATCAGTCTCTGGCTCTCTTGACACATATTTTATCCCCTACCCAGGCTAATCCATCCTGGAGTGAGCAAATGTTCTCATGATTTTGAAACCATTTGTTGGATTTGAAACAGGAATATAATTTTTGGTAATGTATTCATTTAAACCGTCACTATTCTCCCAATTAATGATAATTGCAATTTTCCCAAGTTCTCCAGATCCTTTTTTATTTGTATTAGTAATTTATTGTAGTTGTCTTCGAAAGGTGTCCAGTTTCATAAAGTCATTAAGTTTAGTTCATGAGATGCACATCCTATTGCAATGATATGTGGATACTTGTCCATTATGATTTCCCATGCAGCTTTCATAGTATTTGCATTGTCAGTCAGCAAAGCAAATACTTAAACCACTCTCAATTTTCTCTAAAACTGAACATTTCCACTGCTGATATACTTGCAGTATGTCTGTTCTCTCCAGTTTCAATACTTCTATAAAAGATTGGTTGAGGTGTTATCACAAAGTTGATGATTCCTTCTCCCCAAACATTTGTCCATCTGTAAGAACTGCAAGACATAGTACTTCACTGATTTTTCCTTGTACAGATTCCATCACACGCTCATATTCTGACTCCAAAAGAGACTTGGTAAGGAATGTCTGCTTGGCAAATGCCATGATGATAGTAATAATTTAAGTTTCCTGCCAATATGCATTTTCAGTTATTGACAATGCTGATCCAGAAGCAGATATTGCTCTTGCAAGAGCGTGGTCAATTTTCTCCTGATTTTCAGGTGTCATTTTATCTATAAATGAGAGTATTGTGTATTTTTGTGAGGCAGTGGTTTGCAACACTTCCTTACTTAAGGTGCTGCTGGTTAAGAAACACTTTGTGATAATCCAGAACCAGCAAAAAAGTGTTTTGGAATGAGAACAAATAGAAAGTTATTTGCACTTTCATTCTGCTCCTCATCATTTAATTCCATAAAGTATTTTTTAATATCTTCAGGGCACTTCTGGCATGCAACGATGTGTTTTGTCATCCTTGTAGCACTTGGAAAAGAATTCTCACAATATTTGCAAATTGCAGCTTTGCTTTCAGCAAAAATTGCACTGTGAAAATGTTTCTAAACTCTAGATGTTGGTTTCACCATTTTACTGAGAGGAGGAAAAGAAAAACCAATTTACTGACCAGGCTATAGGTCAGGGGTTTCCAAACTTGGCAACTTTAAGGCTTGTGAACTTCAACTTCCAGAATTCCTCAGCCATCTGGGAGTTGAAGTCCACAGTCTTAAAGTTGCCAAGTTTGGAGACCTCTGCAAACATACAGTGGAACCTCTGGTCACGAACACTTCTGACCACAACCAAATAGGGTTCCAACCAAAAAATTCACATTTTTTTTGTGTGTGTGGCCGATTTCCCCTTCCGTGCCAATTTTTCATAAGTGCCAAATTTTCAAAATTCGGTTCAGGTCATGACCAAATCAGATTACAACCAAAGTTATGGAACGAATCATGGTCATGACCAGAGGTTCTACTGTACTGTGATGGTGGAGATCATTGATAGGAATCATTTAAGGGTTACAAAAGAGAAACTAATTTGTCAGATAAATTTACCCTCTTACTTGTCGGTTAAGGCCTGAGAGGAGGACAGAAACTATCATCTACTGTATACCAACAATTACTCAACTGTAGGAGGTCCGAGGTACACAAGCAAACTAAACTGGAGCCTGTTCCCTGTAGTGCGCCCCTAGTGGCATAAATGCATATTTTACTTGTTTGAGAACTGTATTGAGAATTACAGTATTACTTGAATTGTATTCCAGCATTTGCTTGTCTTCAGCCGAGAGAACTTGCAATAATTTAAGATTTTACCAAAAACAAAATCTCATTTTTTCTGGAAAAAGCAGCTTTGAAAAAAAACAGGGAAAAAAACCTGTTTTTTCTCAATTTTTCAGGTTTTTCCAGACCTTTCCATCTCTAGTCTTCACGCAAAAAGAAACTAGCCCAACCTACCAAAAACCTAAATGTAAAAGACAGACTAGAAATAAAATTAAAATAAGGAAGAAAATGGTAAGAGAATAGCTGTCTGACCTTGATGAATATAAATCACTGGGATCTGATGGTTTACATCCCAGAGTTCTGAAGGAATTGGCAGATGGTATCTTAGAACCATTGTACCATATCTTTCAAAAATCCTGGAACACAAGGGAATTACCTGAGATTGGAAAAGAGCTGATATAGTTCCCTTCTTCATAAAAGGGGGAGAAAATAGACCCAGGAAACTACAGACCAATCAGCCTAACATCAATACCTGGGAAGATACTGGAAAAAATAATCAAAAAGCAGATCTGCCAACATCTAGAAACAAAATTATAACTAAAAGCCACCATGGGTTTGTTAAAAATAGATCATGCCAAACCAACCTTATTTCATTCTTTGACAAAGTATGAAATGTTGTGGACATAGTATACCTAGTCTTCAGCAAGGCATTCAACAAAGTAGATCACAACCTATTTCTTGTTAAGCTAGAAAAATGTGGGATAGACCAGCGGTCGGCAAGCGGTGGGCCACGGCCCACTTGTGGGCCACAGAGAAATCTCATCCCCAGAGCACCCCACCAAAGCAATTAATCAGGCTGCGCACAAATACAAGGCTGTGCCGCCCATATGGCCTGCAGGAACCTCATCTCCCACTCACTCCTTACCCGGCAAACTTGCCTGCTAAATTGATATTTTTCCTCCCCCCCCGATCATCAGCTGTTTTGCTGTGCTGGGAGATTTAGATTAGCTAGGAAGCAGGAAATGGTTGGATTTCTTGCTTTCTAGCTAGTCTTTAGATCTTTGGCTCTGCTTTTAAGTACAGCTGAACCTCCCATAGGACTGAAGGTTCTATTATTTAGTGCAGACTCATGGGAAGCAAATTTTATGTGACAGACTGAGCTAGCCGATGGCAGATAGATAGATGACTGAATGATTCTGTGAGCAACTCAATCTGCCTTCCTGCTTTGCCTGATTTTGGATAAAAGTTGCTCTTTTTTATAAAAAAATCAATATTTACATACATGGCGTGTTGTGAGTTAAATTGAGTTTGCTTGCAAGCAAATTTTACGTGACAGACTGAATTAGCCGATGGCAGATAGATAGATCACTAAATGATTCTGTGAGCAACTCAATCTGCCTGCCTGCTTTGCCTGATTTTGCTCTTTTTTTATAAAAAATTCAATACTTATATAAATATTTATAATATTTACATACAAGCCATGCCCAGCCAGTCACATGACCACCAAACCATACCCACAAATGAGGCCACACCCACAGAACCGGTTATTGGCCCCTGGGATTTAAAATTATGAGTTTGGTGGTCCCTGGGGTCCAAAAGGTTGGCGACCCCTGGGACAGACAGCATCACCACCAGATGGATTTGTAACTTGCTGACAAACCGTACTCAACAAATAGTCCTTAATGGTACTACATCTACATGGAGGGAAGTAAGCAGTGGGGTGTCACAGAGTTCCATCTTAGGTCCAGTATTCTTCAATATCTTCATAAATGACTTGGATGAGGGAATAGAAGGGGAACTCATCAAATTTGCAGATGACTCAAAGCTGGCAGGAATAGTCAACACGCTAGAAGACAAATTCTGGATCCAAAAAGATCTTAACAACCTTGAACAATGGGCCCTATACAACATGAAATTTAATGTGGAGAAAAGCAAGGTTTTATACTTAGGCAGGGAAAACAAAAGGTACAAGTAGAGATTAGGTGAACCCAGGCTCAAAAACAGTAACTGTGAGAGAGACCTCGGAGTCCTAGTGGACAATCACTTAAATATGAATCAGCAGTGTGCTTCAGCAGGCAAAAAAGGGTAATGCAATCCTTGATTGTATAAACAGGCATAGAATCAAAATCATGTGAAGTATTAGTACTGCTTTATAAAGTCTTAGTAAGGCTATACCTGGAATCTAGTTTTGGTCACCACATTACAAAAAATGTTGAGACTTTGGGAAAAAGTGCAAACTGATATTAAAGACTTGGAAACTAAAACATGAACGGTTGCAGGATTTGAGTTTGCTAGTGTAGAAAAAAGGACCAGGGGTGACATGATAGTATTCCAGTATTTGAGAGTTTGCCTGAAAATGGAGGGGATCAACTTATTTACCAAAGCACCTGTAGGCAGGACTAGAAACAATGGATAGAAACTAGTCAAGCAGAGAAGCAACCTGGAACTAATGAGAAACTTCTTAACATTGAGGACAATGATCTGGCTTGTTGTAGGTGCTTCATCACTGGAGGTTTTTAAGAAGAGACTGGACAGTTACTTGTCTGAAATGGTATAAGGTCTCCTGCAATGAGGAGGGGGTTGGACTAGAAGACTTCCAAGGTCCTTTCCAGCTCTATTCTGATTGGCTGATTCTATTGTAACAATTGCTATACTTACTGTATACTATTGAAGAAATTTCTAGATTGAATGGAATTTAATTGAAAGGGAACATTTTAGATAATCCAGTTAACCTTTTAAAACTGCCATGTCTATAAAGCATGTGAAAAACATTAATCAGTTCGGTTGTATTGAATATATAAGAGAAGGTCTTATTTCCGAAAACTTCAATTATGTTCTTTCTAATGTTACAGCATTATTTAAATGATAGTTTCCATAACAAGAGCATTAATACTTTAATCTTGAATGCAACTACAGTTTTTATTTATTTGGTATTTAGGATATTGCAGACAGCCTCTTGCCATTTGGCTCAATACAGTTTACTCCAAATCCATCTTCTACTTTTATAACTCCAAATACATTAAACTTAAGAAGTTTCCGCAAAGTAGTAAAGAAACTGGAAGAGTTATATCCACAGATTACTAGGTAAGTATGTAATTCAGAGGTGATATTTGTAGGAATATATTTATCAAGCTGATCTTGAAGGTTCTCATTATTTTATTTTAGAGACAACATTTTGGCTGCTTTGGTAGAGATAAAAGAAAACAAGAGTCAACTTAGTGGTTTGCCCTTAAGCACAATTATTCAAATGACATCATCTCTCCTGAATAAAAAATGGGCATCACAATCAGAAAAAAAGGAATCTGAGAAATAAACAAGTGAGTACCTTGACAATGTATTGAAATGTACATGTTACAAGTCTGAGTTGTAATGAATTTCTACCCCTGCTGCATTTTACATTTGTATTTTAATACTAAACATTTTGGAAGTAAATGCTTATGTAATTCAAGTGTTTTACTACGTAAATAATTAGCTTAGTATCAGGACATAAAACTAATTTTTCTATATGCTGCTCTTTTATGGAATTTTAATTAAAAGCCAAAGATCTTGAAATTCAAAGGTGTGAAATTCATACTAAGTAGCCACCATACTGTGGGAAAATGGGAAGATAGGAAAAATCAAGCAAGGAAATTATTTCAGACAATACTAGATATGAAAAGATGTGGGTGTCTTGGTGGATCAAAAACTGAACATGACCCAATTGGATGGTATAGCTGTGGGGGGGGGAATCAAACCTAGTCTGCATCAGGATCAAGAGATGTCACCTAGACCAGTGGTCCCCAACCTTTTTTGTACCAGGGACCAGTTTCACGCAGAAACACTTTTTCAAGGACCGGGGTGGGGGGGAGGAGTCCGAGTTTGGTGGTTTGCTTGCAGATGTTTCATTGCCTGACTAGGTAACATCTGATGTTGTTACCTAGTCGGGTAATAAAACGTCTGCCAGCAAACCACCAAGTTCAGGGAGCACCAATGCCTCCTCATTGCAACCCTGAGCGACAGATATTCTCTTCTATTGGGACATTTAAAACGGAGGGTTTCAGCTGCAGATTCAGGAACTGCGCCGGGCTGAGGAGTGCCTTCAAAACTGAGCGCTGGGCGGCGGCGGCCCACGGCTGTCTCCGCGGCTCAGGACAAGTCCCTGCAGGACGGCTGAGAAGCTCCGCCTCTCGGCCCTCCCTCCCTCAGCCTCA